ATGTGACTCCCTGTCTGTTAAAACATAATAACAAATGAAATGGACAAAATAAGGACTCAAGCTTTCCCACTGCATAAGCATCCTATGTACTGTGTCTGTCCATTCTCAAGAGACTTCTGAAGAACCAGAGGGTCAAATGAAACTGAGCCTTCTCTTGTTTCTTCCTTTGATACTTTACCAGCTTTTAAGAACAGCACAGCTTTTCCTTTCCCAGCCATGAAGGATTTCTTTTTATGTAGATTTGTCTACCTGGAGCTCCCAGCTGCTGCGAAGACCCCTTGTACCAGGTTCCGCTGGTGGCAGCCTGTGTTCTCAGGGGAGGACTATGACCAGTGGGCCATCGACGACATCATCATTCTGTCAGAGAAGCAAAAGCAGGTTATTCCAGTTGTCAACCCAACTTTGCCCCAGGTATGTCTCCTGCTGGAATAGTGAACCAGGGAAGGAATGACTGGCTTTTTTCTTTTGTATTGGATATTTTATTTACATTTCAGATGTTATCCCCTTACCCCATCCCCCCTATCCTCCTGCCCAGGAACTCCCTATCCCATTCCCCCTCCTCCTGCTTCCATGGGGATGTGCCTCCACCTACCCCCCACTCCCACCTCCTCACCCTTGAATTCCCCCACACTCAGCATCCAGCCTTCATGGGACCAAGGATCTCTTCTCCTACATATGCCTGACAAGGCCATCCTCCCCTACATATCCAAATGGAACCATGGATCCCTCCCTATGTGCGCCCAGGCTGGTGGTTTAGACCCTGGGAGCTCTGGTGGTTGGTATTGTTGCTCTCTCCTCATGGGGCCACAAACCCTTTCAGAACCTTCAGCTCCTTCTCTCTCACTCCTCCATTGGGAACCCCATGATCAGTTCAATGGTTAGCTGTGAGCATCTGCCTCTGAATATGTCAAACTCTAGCAGACCTCTAAGGAGACAGCTATATCAGGCTCCTGTCAGCGAGCACTTCCTGATATCCACATCAGTGTCTCCCTTTGGTGACTGCACATGGGATGGATACCTAAGTGGAATGGTCTCCAGATGGTTCCTCCTTGAGTTTCTGTCCCACACTTTGTCTCCATATTTGCTCCCTTGAGTATTTTGTTACTCCTTCTAAGAAGGACTGAAACACCCACACTTTGATCTTCCTTGTTCATGAGCTTTATGTGGTCTGTAAGTGGCATCTTGGGTATTGTGAGTTTCTGGGTTAATATCCAATTATTAGTGAGTGAATACCATGTGTGTTCTTTTGTGAACACACAAAAGTTACCTCACTCAGGATGATATTTTCTAGTTCCATCCATTTACCTAAGAATTTCTCAAATTCGTAGTTTTAATAGTTCCATTGTATAAATGCACCACATTTTCTGTATCCATTCCTCTGTTGAAGGACATCTGAGTTCTTTCCAGCTTCTGGCTATTATAAATAAGGCTGCTATGAACATAGTTGAGCATATGTCCTTGTGTCAGACAGGGCACTGGGTAATGTGAAATTAATTAAATTTCTATGTTCATATTGTTACTGTTCCCTTTGTAGTAAGAAAGTTCAGTCCTGGGCTTCTAGTTCATCAGTCATTCAGACGTGAGAAAGATTGTGAAGTCTAGTTATCAACAAAAATGTTAATGTGTTTAAACAATAATTAGAAACATAGTGGTAAAAAATTTTTGGTTGCTAAGTCTTCAAGGGGAAATATGGTTGCATTTTTTTGTGTTAGTTTAGCAGTTCTGTATTTTCATAGAAATGTGAATGGTGTGTGGGCCACGTGAGAACTAAGTATTTCCTCCTTGTTTTCAGTGTCATCAAAGTGTCTTCCTTTTGCTTGTATTCTCCCTATTAGAACTTTTATGAGAAGCCAGCGTTTGATTACCCTATTAACCAAATGAGTGTGTGGCTGATGTTGGCCAATGAAGGGATGAGTAAAAACGAGAGCTTCTGTGCCACTACGCCTTCAGCCATGGTGTTTGGAAAGTCAGACGGAGACAGATTTGCCATAACTCGAGATCTGACCCTGAAACCTGGATATGTGCTCCAGTTCAAGGTATTTGTGCAGCAGGGGTCTTCCCAGAGCAGATGAGTAATGGAAAAGTCTCACGTTTATATACAAAAAAAGAACGCAGATTTTTCATATTCTGCTAAAGAAGCGACACACTTGAATGAAGGCTCTGCTGGCTTAGGATGGTAAAGCTTTTCAGCTGTATTTATGAGGGAGACCATTGGCTAGTTTTGAGGGAGTCTCAGAAATTGTTTCAATAGCATTATGTTGCCATGCAACTCTCCCATATTTGAAATTAAAATTGGCTGAGGATTTTGAACTGAGAGTGATGTAACGAACCCCTGTTTTCAAATCATTCTAGATAAGGCCTGTCTGTCTCACTGGTGGTTTGGAGCTTATGTTTTTGTTGTGTATTGGAGGTCTAGCACAGGACCTTGCATACACTAAGTGTGCTCTAAGCCCAGCCTGTATTTTATGCATTTACTATAGTGTTTTAGAATTCCCTTCCTGTAATTTGGTTTCACTCTGTTTTCCCTAACTCTCCTTAAAGCACATTGTTTTTCAAGCTGTGGTAACATGCTAAAAAAAAGTAGGAAGTATTTACCCTGACAAACTCTTGTCTCAGAACCTAATCAAAATTTCATTGTGTTTGTTTATAGTAAAATCCCACTGGTGAATTTTGGAGTCGAAAGCAATGCAGTTTTAATAAGCCACTACAACTACATGGTCTTTATATAACAATAGGATTAAATAATAACAGACATTAAATAATTTACAAGTAGAGCTATTAAAGAGATCAGTTTATGGGTAGTTCTTCAATATAATTTCTATAGACCTATACACAAGGTAGTTAGTCACAAATAAAATAATTAGGAAATGGTAATTGCCTTTTTATATTTTGAATTTAAAAAGGCAAAATAAAAGAATCAGTGAAATTTTCAGGTATTTTAAAAGGGCAACAGCATATAATACTTAAGAAAAATCCTAATTCTCACATCACAGCTAGTAATTTGTGCTCATTAGTTAATGATGGGTGTTAATTATGGATTGGTGGTCAATATATACTAGAAACCCTTAAATTGTCTTTTGGTATCCTTTGCATAAAAAATATAGTTCTGGTGCATTCTAGGTAACTGCTTGCCATATTACAAATACCACGTCTTAGGAGTATAGACACCAAAACCGTTGCCCTAGTCCTCCGGGATCTCAGGAACTAGAAAATAAGCCAGAAAGGTAACCAGTCACTGTACAGTCACAGGGTTCCAGGGGAATAGTCCCAGACACTGTGAGTGAGCCCTGCACAGCACCTGACAACATCACACAGGTTAAATAGATGGGATGTAGAACAGTGACCATTACCAAAGGTGCGCTAAACAGCGTTCAAATTCATTTAGAGAGGAAACCATCTTAAACTATAATTCCAAAACCTAGTGCTGTGCTAAAAGGATTCCTGTAATAAAAAGAATACATGGAACTTTTAAAATTTGAAGAGTTTCTAGATTTATGAGTGATATCACTCCTGAGGCCTCTCTCTGGAAATCTCCCACAGGGAGAATTTTGCACCCTGTGCAGTGTGGGATGTAATAATAAAGCACTCTGAAACAGGAAGCAGGAGGTAAGTTCTTAACACATGATAATTTCAACTATAGAACCAGAATATATGCCTCTAAATAAAGGGCAGGAAAAACAGAAACGGCTGTGCCAGGGTGGTGGCGGCTGCATATTTTACAGTTTTTAAACAATGCCCACTTTATGTTGACAGTCATGTGACTTGCACATAACATCTCTATGCCATTACTAAACTGAGTCTAGGACAGAAGCTTGGCTCTTTCTTAACAATGATCTTTATTTTTCCTTTAAAAAAACCTGATCTCTTGAATCAGACAGACAGACAGACAAGCATTGTGAAACAATGCTTGTTTCACAGAAAGGAGAGGCAGCCTACCCTTTGAACAACCACATTCTAAAGGAAAGCTACTTGTTCATCTGCTCTGGGAATAGGAATGAAAAACACTTCTGACTCAAGAAACCCAGAAGATGAGAGTTTGGTCCAGCTCTCTATTGAAATGAAACCTTCTGGAATTTACAGAGGTCTGGGTTGAATGTGAGCTGTATCTTTCTTATCACTTAAATGTCATGTCAAAGCATAGCAGGGCCCCTGGCTGGCATTGCACCTAATTCAATAAATAATATCTTAAAGCAAAATCTCGTCTAATTCTGCCCTTCGTTCTAACAGCTAAACATAGGGTGTGCCAGCCAGTTCAGCAACACTGCTCCGGTTCTCCTGCAGTATTCACATGATGCTGGCATGTCATGGTTTCTGGTGAAGGAAGGATGCTTTCCAGCTTCAGCAGGCAAAGGATGTGAAGGGAACTCCAGGGAATTGAGTGAGTCTACTGTCTATTATACTGGGGACTTCGAAGAATGGACAAGAATCACCATTGTCATCCCAAGGTCCCTAGCATCCAGGTAAAGCAATCTCTCTCATTGTGAGCCATAGCACCATAAACTCTGGCTGTTCCTACCCAAGCAGTGACTTGAGGAATAATAATAATAATAATAATAATAATAATAATAATAATAGTTACTGAAATAGAATTGCCAAAATAGCATAAGTGGGTAGTGAATCCTGTTACTCAGTCAGCAATTAGCTCATTCAACAAGTATCTGTTCCTCACATACCTATCTGTCACATGTACAGGCTGGCATACAGCAGTGAGCAAAAGATGTTAAGGGTTAAAAGAACCACGTGGCCTTACAGCAAGCTTTTGCCATATACAGATGTTTGTTAATTTAATGCCTCCTTACATAGAAGAGTTGAAGTATCTTTCCATGTAAATGGTCACTTTAAATAGATTACTAAAACAATAAGAGAAAAATTTTTAAAACCTTGATGGGAGGATGATATAAATAGACAGAGAACTCAAAATGAATCAAGTTCAATAAAGAAGGAACTAGTTTAGCTCTCAGCTTCTTGTCAGCTAAGAAATACAGGATCCTTTCATCCCCATTGGTGAGTTTTAAACAAAAGAATAAAAGCAAGCATGTTCTGATTTTTTTTGTAAAGACATATTTATCCAGGTTCAATATTCTAGAATAAATTTAATATCATCTTGTATCAGATATAGTCGCAAAAGAGAAAGATCATTGATTTTCACTTTCATTTTAGAAAAGATAAAGAAACATTCTTCAGGTAGACACTTCTTAGTTACGTTCTGGAGCCTTTAACTTTAGAACTGAAGTCATACAAGACGCTGTTTCTATTGCTTCTTGATGGTGTAACACAGAGTTAAGATACTCACTAGTGTCATTCAGCAATACTCCAAGAGTCTTTATTTCCTGGAATAAGGTAGGCCACATTCTTCCAGACTTGACATAGCCTAATAAACTGTAAGTTTGTGAAGCACTTGGCTATCCAGAACCCAGGTACACCCTCCCTGCTCCATGGGGGAACTGAAGCAAGGCTCCAAGTGCAAGAAGCAGATTCTTTGCCAACCTATGCTAGATGCATAAACTAAGCAAGAAACAAACTTCTGTTGGACTAAGGTCACAAGGTTGGGAGTTGTTTGTTGCTACAAGAAACCTATCCTGTGCTCTGATGTGCCGATAATCAAAGTAGCTTAGCCACAAAGCTGCTAAGCACTTTTCTGTCTCTAACATTCCCACCTAATGATCATAGATTTACTGAGCACGATCTAGCTACTCAAACTAATTACATTCTCTGCCTCTACCATTCGTTAAGTGTGCAGTCCTCTAGGACATGGACTATAGCTGTCAGTGGGCAAATGTGTCTTTGTTAGATCAAAGATGTAAAACTCTGTGTGACCCTGATAAATTGTAAAGCAGAATCTTTAAATATCAGCTATTTTTTTTAAAACTAGCCATAAAATTATTTTAATCATTAGATTCCTGTCAAGTTACATAGTGTCTTTGTTTTGTATGTCAGTTTTATGTTATGGTTTAGCTGAGAAAAATAAAAGACAGAGACAAGAAGAAATGGGAAGATCCTAGCAGTCAGGCACCTGGTCTATAGAAAGTCTGAACTTCAAGAAGTTTGCTATCTCAGTCTCTTTGATCCAAGAGCAGTGTCTAGGATGAGTCTCCATCACTAAGACAGTTCTCTCTGAGAGGAACTCTCCAGTCCGTTGTTCTCAGTCCCTGGTTCCACCCTACCTGCCTCCATACCTGAGGAATCGTTCACCTCCATAAGGACCTATCTAATGTTTGCCATCTTTGAGAGCCATATCCTCTTGCCACCCATTCATCTGAAGCTGTCAGGGCAGCCTGTTTGATTGATTGTTTGTTCATTTTTCTCACATCAACCACCCTTCATGGTTTCTGAAAGTATGGCCTCAAGACAGCTCTTCCAAATACACAGCTGGAGAGTAGCAAGTGGCTCCCTTCACTACGATAACTAGAATATTGGATGACTTAAAACATCATTATGAAAACAGACAGTTTCCACGAGGAGTCCAGGAACACAAATCCTTTTTGGTTTCTCTTAGGCTCTGAAAAATTTTGGTTAAATCTGTAAATTACAGTGTCCTCATTGGTGGGCAGAGTAGCCCAGTTGGTAAGCCCACTTGTGACCAATAAAAAAAGCCCAGGCTTCATATCAGTAAATAGACCAAATGTTTTGAGGCTCTCAATATTTGGATATTTTCTTGAATTTCAGCTTTGAGGAAAAAAAACTCTTCTCCATTAGAATCCAGCTTCCTGGGTTACTTTGGATCCCCAAAGTAACCCAGCTTGCTGATTGACACTGTTTGTGATGACGAGTCCTCTGCTAAAGAGTAGTAAATGTGTTCCTATTTACCCTAGTAAGTGAGCTGTCTCTCAGTTTACTTTCTGTAATACATCATGCACAGGAAGCTCCAAGCGCAGTGTTCCGGTTCTGTTTCTGGCAGCCATGTTGGTGAACTTTGGGTGTGTATTCTCACATTCCTAAGAGACACATTATCACAGCAAACTCTGTTCCTCTGCCTCTTACAGTCTGCCCACTATGATTCCTGAACCTTAGGTGCAGGAGCAGTGTGGTAGATGGATCCACTGGGATTGAGCTCTATAACTTGACATTTTGATTGGTGTGGCTTTCTGTAATGGTCTCCGTCTGTTGCAAAGAGAAGTTTCCTTGATAAGGAGTGACAATTACATTTACCTGTGGATATGAGAATTAAAGTTTATAATGTAGTTAGGAACTCACAGCACCACTTTAATGGACATTTACTTAAACTAATACATCTGTATATCAAATAATTCTTGTGCTTTGGGGCTACCAACCTCATGAAAATAGTTTGAGGACACCTGCATCAACAGATTTCAACTATGTGATTTCTCCTTCATGTTTCTCTCCTTCCCAAACAACCTATGGTTCAGCACAGAACTTACTTTCCTCGTATTCTGTCCACTATTCTACAGGCAAGATCTGGCACCTCGTGGTCACATCCAGTGCTCTCTTAATTCTTTCCAGCCTCTTCTTCTTATTCCACCAACTTTGAAGACATTAACTTACTGGTGTCCAAACATAGTGTTGAGTCACTGAGACTAGAAGCAGGTATCAGTTGCTAGGTGCAATGTGAAGATATACAAGCAATTGCACAGGTGTGAAGCCTTGGTCCATTTGATACTCCCAACTCAAGACCAGCAGGGCACTTTTTCTTTGTTCGTTCACAGGTAGCAGTGCTGATAGGCATCTCATCTGGTTACTGAGAAGGTTCAGAATGAGCAGCTTAGAGTTTTAAAGTGAGATGGGGAGGAATGAGGCAGCCATGAGTAGCAGCCATGAATTGCAGGGGAGCTGTCTGTACAGCCTCTCCTCTTCTGTTGTCAATGCCAAATAGCCAGAGTCCCTTTATGTGCCCCAACAAAAAAACATTCTATTTGATGGCCTCAAAAGACTGCCAAATAATTTGTTGGAAAGGAGTCCAGAGGGAGCAGGAGGGAGATAGGAGACCATCATGGCCAATATATATGATCAAAATACAAAATGTTATATATGTGTGAAATTATCAAATCATAAATAATTTTTTCAAATGGCCTCCCTAAAAATAACCTAAAATTGATATGATAGAAGGGTGAAAATTAACTAAAGAATAACATTAGGTTGTTACTAAAAGAGCATGGGGTAGGAAAATATTCAAACAAAAATTTATGATATATCTGGCATCAAAGGTCTTCTTAGAAAAATCTGTAAGACCATTGTACCTATGTCCTCCTGGATGTTAAACTATTCATGCTGAAGAAATCAGGCAGGTTTGAGAAGCAGGTGTGACACTCAGGGACATACTGGCTCAGGTGAGTTTGTCTGAGACCTTTTGCATTCCCTTATTTGGTAAGATGTGATGGTAAGAACAGACCTGTTTCTCCCAACAGCAAGACCAGATTCCGATGGATCCAAGAGAGCAGCTCTCAGAAGAATGTACCCCCATTTGGCTTAGATGGGGTATACATATCTGAGCCTTGTCCCAGTTACTGCAGTGGTCATGGAGACTGTATCTCAGGGGTGTGTTTCTGTGACTTGGGGTACACAGGTAAGAACCCCGATTTATCATTTTCTGTGTTGAAGAATTCTAGAACTTGGGCATCTAGGCACTTGACTCAACCTACCAAAAAACAAACAAACAAACAAACAAACAAAACAAAAAGAAACCACCCTGCTAAGTTTCACTCATGTGTTTGTTATTTAAAAGCAATCATAATGTACATCACTTGGGTTCTAAGTCATGCCAACTTTATAGTAAATACTTTTATTTTTATCCCATTTGATTCTAAGAATGAATAACTGTATTATAGTACTGCTGACCCTGTTTACATTTGAGGAAACTGAGGCAGAGAACGGATTTTTGATTTTTAAACAATTCTCCTTGGGTTACAGCATTGCTAGAAGTGGGTCTGTGCTCATACAACATGCAGTCTCAGAAACCCAAACTGAGTTCTTAACCCCACATTTACAGGTTCTCCCTAAGCTCTTTATAATGAATATATATATATATATAGTATATATATATATATGCATATACATATATATGAAATATGCTTTTCTCCATTTAAAATTAAACTGCGACATAAACTTCTAAGCCTAAGACTGTCAAAAATAAAAGGAGCTTTATGTAAGCGAGGTTTTACAGCACTCACCTTTGGGTGTTGCCATAGCAAAAGTTTCAAGAAAGCCTAGATTAAAGCTTAAAATTAGAGAAAATATCTTAAGCTACAAAATCTTCGTCTAAAGTTTTTCTGGCAGCAACATCAAAAGGGTCCTTCCCAGCTTGTCAGTACGCAGGCCTTCATCTGGCGAACAACCAAAGACAGACTGGCTTGCTCTTGCAAGCCTCTGTGTATGTCACAGAGTTTCAAGGACAGCATTTTAAAATTCTGTATTGCCCTTCCTACTAAGACTCGTAGTGGCTTTACTGTGGACAAGATCTCTGCTCACATAAACTCTCTAAGTAGGAACAACCATGGACATCCATCATTCCCAGCATTTGTCCTCATTTGACAGTAAATAAGTCACCAGGGCTGGGAGATGGCTCAGGGATCAGAGCTCACTCTGCTCTTGCAGGGAGCTGGGTTTAATGCCCAGCCCCACATTGGTGGCTTACAACCATATGTGTGTCCAGTTCGTGGGGGTTCTGACACCTCCACTTCCACAATTGCCTGCATTCATTTGTACAGATGTGCATACATACAGAGAAACACGAATGCATATGCTTTTTAAAAATTAAAAAAGTGCCTTTTTAAAGTTAAAAATTAAACAAAAATTGGCAAATTTCATTGATTTACTTGTTTTGTTGTTTTGTGATGGGGTCTCATGTAGCCCAAACTGATTTTGAATTTAGAAGGTGGCCAAGGATAGCTTTGAACTTCTGATCCTTTTGCCTCTGTCTTCCAACTGCTGGGATTTCTGGCATACACCACACTCCTGGCAGTAATTTTAATGTTAGTAATAGTGGCTGTCTTTAGGCAGACAGTTGCACAATACAGACTCTTCCTTGCCCATAAGTCAAGTGTATCTTTCAATACTTAGTGATTTCAACAAAACTTGTACATGTTTCTTTCCCCTGAAGCTGCACAAGGAACCTGTGTGTCAAACATCCCCAACCACAGTGAGATGTTCGATAGGTTTGAGGGGAAGCTAAGCCCACTATGGTACAAAATAAGCGGAGGTCAGGTTGGGACAGGCTGTGGAGCCCTTAACGACGGCAGGTCCCTCTACTTCAATGGCCTTGGGAAAAGGGAAGCCAGGACAGTCCCACTGGACACCAGGAATATCAGGCAAGTTGTCAATTAGAACATTTCTTTTGAATACAGTAGACTACTGTTATGGAATATCTTGTATCTCTACCTGTGGATTACAATATGTAAAATAAAGTTTAACATAAGCTGCATGATAAAATAGATGGGTAATGAGAACAAATGACACCAGAGTTTGACATTAACACAAGCTTGTTTTCCAGGCCTCTATGATATTTTTTTCACCTTAGTTTTCAAAAGTTCTGCATTATCCTGTAAACTTATATACACTTAATGTAAACTGATAAAGCAAATATATTTCCAACTTTGAATTTTATGTCTGAAAATGATCCCTCTGTCTACTTGGACAGTCCATTTGTGGTCATTTACTGAAAATTGCCCCCCAGGAGAATTAGAAGCCTACCCTGCCACCTACTGGTAGAACCAAGAACTGTTTGGCTCTAAAGTCAAAGTTTCCTAAAAGGAAACTGCTTTTTTACATCAATTACATTACGTGGAAATTAGAAGGAAGGCAACAAGGAAAAAAATAAGTAAATTTTAGAGGTGGTCTTTACTAAAAATGCAGCATTGCCTTTCATATTTTTCTACTGTGAGTCTTTTCCATGTTCCCTCAGCATCCTGTCCTCAAAGGTTTGCCTGCTCAGCAGGATCATGGCTTCTATGACTGAGGCACAATTTACATCACACTGGGTGTCAGCTGTGGGGAATTTAGCCAGCTTTCTCTAAGTCAGTATCAGACAGGGGATCAGCTTAAATGCTTGCGGAAGTGACTGATCCTTATGTATCTGACTTTAAAAGTGGTACTTGAGAATGATAGGAAGTTTTATTGTTCTTTTGTTTGTAACTAAACTGAAGTTTTTATGTTTGTTTGATTCCCCCAGACTTGTTCAGTTTTATATACAAATTGGAAGTAAAACATCAGGTATTACCTGCATCAAACCACGGGCTAGAAATGAGGGTAAGCTGAATTTTTTTAAATTTTAAATTTTTTTAAATTTTAATTTTTTAAAATTAGGTTTAGCATTTTATGTGTTGAGGAAGTGTCTGTGCATTTATGTGTGTGTACCATGTGTGAGCTGGTGCTTGAGGAGGCCAGATCCCCTGCAACTGACATTATAAATAGTTGTGAGCCATTGTTTAGGTACTGGGAATTGAACCCAGATCCTCTGGAAGAGCAGCCAGTGCTCTTAACCACTGAGCCATCTCTCCAACCCCAGGCGACTGTGTTTCTATAGAAGTTATGGCAACTTTGGCTACTTAGCCTTTTTTTTCTCTCCCAAAGTCTGATGTGGATTATTTCAGTTTCCCTAGATCATACCTGCCCTCTGTTCTGCTTCAGTAGAAAAAGCTGCTGTGCAGACCCCAGTCCCATAGCTTCTTCATGAGCTCCCTAAGCCTGAAACCCATGCCTGCCCTGGGTCCAGGCAGAAGCAAGTGGCATTTGTTTTAGTGAGTTCTACTTCTCTATAACCCCCAAAGCAAGGGAAAAACAATAGGAGAGATTTTTGCATTCAGTGTGAAAACTAAACTTATTTGCATAGAGAATTTTTGAATTGTATATTAGGTTCTACTTTTGCTCTTGGACATTCTGGAGGGGACAGAAACCTTGTTCTTTTCTGAGTACCTATTTGCTGCAGATACTACTATCTCAGAACTGTTTATGACGAGTGGAGAAGGAGGCAAAGTGGCCAGGGAACATGTACACAGGCATACAGAGAGAAAGTAGACAAAGAAGGATTTGACCCATCAGCTCTAGGATTTATGCCTTTTGCATCATATGATTGACCCTCTCTTCTGCTGACCTAAACTCTATGCTCACTCACTCTTTTTTGGTTCCCACTTTTCACCCTCAAATTATAAGGTGCTTAAAGAAACTCAGCAGCAGCCTTGAAACATAAGTGGCTCCCATATTCCTGTGGGTATGCTAGGATTCCTTCCAGAGCCCTACATGTGTCTGGTTCTTAACACAGAATCCACAGACTTCTCCTGTGGTTCTTTCTCGATACTTCATCATCTTAAAACCCCATTGGTTTTTACATCATTATCATCTAAGTTTGTTACCACATTAGGCTGTGTCTATATATGATGCTCTGGACCAAACGGTACCCACTGTGGAGAGCTCTGCTTAACCCTGATCATCCCTGTCTGAAGGTTTCAATGGTTTCCTGTGACTGTCTTTCTTTTGTTTGTTTGCTTGTTTTGTTGTTGTTGTTGTTTTTGTTTGTTTGTTTTTTTGAGACAGGGTTTCTCTGGGTAGCCAGGGCTGTCCTGGAACTCACTCTGTAAACCAGGCTGGCCTCAAACTCAGAAATCCACCTGCCTCTGCCTCCCAAGTGCTGGGATTAAAGGCGTGCGCCACCACTGCCCGGCTTCCTGCGACTGTCTTAATGTTTTTGCTTTAGTAATTATTCAAATCATCCTTCTGCTGAGGAAGCAATCTAGAAACTTTAATAGGCCATGTTTCATTCCTTCATGTTTTTCTGCAGATATGTATACAGTCTGATATGTTGTGGGTATTGCAGATAAAATATCTCCACAATGTCACCACGTTTGCAGCAGTCACAATGAGCTAGGTTATGCTGCAGTAAAACAAATAACCCCTTAAAACAAAATAAAAATACAGTGTTTTCTTCATTGTGCTACATTTTCTTCATGGATTGTCTGATGTCCTCATTCCAACACTCAAAATTCTGAATGTTTGTTGGGTGTTGCCAGCCATGTGGCAGAGAGAAATCTGTCCCATGTGTAGGCTGGGGAACAGCCAGGATAGCATAAATGGCCACCCAACAGCCAAGTCTAGTTCCAAAAAAAATGTCGAGTAGTAAACTATAAAGAAAAAGTAATGAAGAAAATGTTAGATTTCGAGAGAAAGACAGAAACAAACTGTTGAGACAGGAAGTAAGCACATAGGGATGGTGATTCTGATAGAACAATCTCACCACCATCTCACCAAGCAAATGACAGCTGATAAATTTAATCCAACAGAAGGTGAGTGATGTAAAAAAAATCCACATTTATACCCCTATTTGTATATAAGATTTTAAAAGGCTTTGGGGGAAACATATACTTATCATTGACATGAGATTCACTCTCTACTTGCTGTAGATGCTGTTTGCACTGTGAGGTTAGTTCCCCTTAGGATCCCTTTAGGAACAAGCAATTTGTTCTCAGCTAGCCCTGAACCATTTTCTTAGATTTGGTGTTACCCATATAATTCACATCCCATTGGCATTTCTCATCCTTTTAGTGAAGCCTTGTTGTTAACATGTAAATCTGACTAAATCCTTGAGCAAATCTCTCCCAGTGATAAAGTGAAGATTCTTTACTTACTCAAGCTGAAGCATCAATTTACATATTTGGAATTAAAGTCAAAATTAGGCTGTCTTCAATAAGACTAGGCAGAATGCAGATGGAGTTGTAGTTTAAAAAGAGAAATAAATGCTTTACATGCTTTAAACATTCAGTAGATGTGCTAAAGTGACTTGGCTTATTCAAATCTACAATGCGTTAGATGACACAGTTAATGAGGCTTAGCAACTGGCAGAAACTATGGATATTGCTGCTCTCCTCCTGACAGTCCTCTGCTCACATACTTGTCTGGGAGGCCCTCCCTCATCACAGTTCAGAATTAAAGTTTCATCTCTGTAGACCTCATTGCTGCATGTAGGTAGACATGACTCTCCTGAAAAAGCTAGTGAGGGGGGAAAGGCAGAAGCAAGCTCCAAATGAAAGACACGCCTCTGAGCATGCCTTTCCTGTTTTGATGAACACCTCAAATCTTTTTAAATCTGCGTTTGCTAACATGTAAATTCTGATTTAAGGGGATTGGGATGGTATGCTGCATGATAAGTTATCATAAAGACCAAGAGCCTGAAAGTAACAAATGTGTGGTATCTTATGATTCTCCTACAAGGCAGGAGAAGACACAGCTCAGCTGAAGAGCTTATGAGGCTGCAGTCAAGGCAATGGACAGACAGGGGACAGAGGTTGGGAGACTTTGCTGAAGGCTGGGTGATCTGTTTCAAGAACTGGGCAGAATCTCTGTCTAGATTCTCTCCATCCTTCCAGACCTGTCCACAGACTGTTAGAATATCTTCTTACATGCATGTATGCTTCCTCATAGCCACAGATCCAGAAGGAGGAATCCCCAAAGCCTTTCTTTTTTCCTTTTAGTACTTCTCAAAAGGGCTCACACATTGTTTAGTGAGCCCTGCACTACTGAGCTCCACTACAGGCTCAACCTCCATGCTTTTAATGGCCTAATTTCAAAAGCCATGTGGTTCCTACCACATTCTGCTCATTAGAAGTAAGTTACTAAATCTCTCTGTATACAGAGGGAAGAGATTTAGTTGCCACTTTTTTTTAAGACATATATATGTGTGTGTGCCGTATGTGTATGTAATCCTGTATGACAGAAAAGGGCATCCTATCCCATCGTTGATGGTTGTGAGCCACCATGTGGGTGGTGGGAATTGAACTGAGGACCTCTGGAAGAGCAGCCAGGGCTCTTAACTGCTGAGCCATCTCTCCAGCCCTTTGTTCTACTTTTTAAGGAGAAAAGCATCAATGAATTTGTGAACTTACTTTTAAAACTATCACAGATAGAGAACACCTTTTCAGATGATGCAGGAGGGTCTGTATTTCCATGATATTTCACTTGGAATACTTCAATCCCCCTTCTACAGTGCCTGCTCCTACTCAACTACCCTACCCCACCACTTCTTTTCCCTTCCTCTCCCATCTCTTTTCCATTACTTAACTGAATATAAACTATATTAAATCAAATCCATAGTCACAGAAAATATAATTTTTGAAGTGTCTATGCTCTCAGACATCACAGTTCAGAATTAAAGTTTCATCTCTGTAGACCTCATTGCTGCATGTAGGTAGACATGACTCTCCTGAAAAAGCTAGTGAGGGGGGAAAGGCAGAAGCAAGCTCCAAATGAAAGACATCCAACATTACCCTTTGAAAAGTAATAGGACATATTTTGAATAAACACTGAGAGCTGCTGAGTAGTGCTTTTGCCAGACAGCCCCTGGGCTGACTCAGATGAAGGCTGGAAACCCCAGATTCATTTTTTTATGAGGTTTCTTGTGACTCTCTGCTCTCCTCACATGTGGGTGTCCCCTCGGTTAGCAGCACTTCTTTTTTATTTTTATTTTTTTAGATATTTTATTTATTTACATTTCAGATGTCATCCCCTTTCCTCATTTCCCCTCCCTAGAACACTATCCCCCTCCTCCTTTTTGCTTTTGTACCATTTTAATTACATGCATGCATTAAGGTCAATTCTAGGTTGAGGGTCTAACAACACAATAGATGCAAATAGTCAAGGAACAAGCAAGACAATAAACACAAATAGTCAAAGAACAAGCAAGGCATTAAACACAGTTATGTGAATACTCCCCTGAGTGATCACTGTTTCTAAGGGCTTATCAGGATGAACAAAATATCTGAGCTGACTTCCCTGTCCTAGCCAAAAGCCATTTTCATGTCTGAAGCCTACTTCCTTCTTCTAGCCTAAAACTTAGATACATGTCTGATATTACTTCTTTGTTCTAGCCTAATATTTAGATTTGGTTAACAGCACTTATAACTCTCCATCCCTGCTGCTGTGTGCAGTCCAGCACACCCAGGGAGGCCTGTTCTCCTCTTTCTCATTTCTGTTTTCTCTCAGAACTTGACAGATTCTGTTGTAAACACACTGGATGCTCTGCAGTTCTCTAGCTTTTCACAGATTTGTCACTGTTCCTGGCGCCATCACCTGTCAGGAGGAGCACCTGTAATGGCATGTACTGCCAATTTGCTCTGAGCTGCTTGCTCTTCATCGTAATATTTGTCAACTCTTTATGCTAATTAAGTCTTTGTTATTTAATATTACAATGGATGGAGGAGCTCTAGTTAGTAATATATTGTAAGTCAAATATTCCATGAACAATTCATAACTTTTCAAGCATTAAAATATAATAAAAGAGACAACAGATAAAACTTTACTGGGCATAATTTCTATAAATGCTTAAGAACTAGATCAATGTCCCCCCAACTATGATTATGAATATTCGATACCAATTTTACAAATAATTGTAGAATAAGCCATTAGATACCCTCAGCTTCTCTTACAGATATATATTCATATATACACTCATATGCATAGATCCTTTCATATATAGCCATATACAGAGAACATCCATGTGTGTGTGTGTGTGTATAGTCCCACAACCATAACCATAGCAATTTTCTCTCTATTGACCATTAGCCTTCCCCTTTGTCCCCTTTTAAAAGTAACAACATTTCTGAGAGAAATAGCAGCAGAGGTAGCATGTGACATCCCTTGCATGCAAACCTGTAGTTCCCCAGACCTTGTTACAGGGTGTGGACACAGATGGCACAGACAGAAGGAGGAGTGGCACAGAGAACAGGAAAGAGAAGCAACACTGGAGAGTCCCAGGTCTTGCTGCTTTACTCTTAAATTATCTGGCCTCATTCAGGTTTCACTAACCAAGGTCTGTCAGAATCTGCAGGACTGGCTAAAGGGTGCTCTGCCTAACATTTCCTGCTGAGCACCGCATACTGCCTACTGCTTCAACAGCAAGCATGTAGCTAGCTCATCTTGTGCCAGAGAAATTAAGATGTTTCTTCGGAGCATATAATGATGACTTGAGACATTGTGAAGCTCAGGCTAGAATCTAAATTTCAAGTACACGCTTTGGAGCAGCTCCCTAACCAGCTCACTCACCATTCCTACAAAGCTGAGTGGTCTTTAAAGGAGCTTATGTATTTCTTGTCTTCACTTACTGGGAGTGAGCTCATTAGAAACTGTCAGGAAATTGATGGGCCTATGAGTCTACTAATTCATGCCTTGTAAGTGAGATGGATGAGTGTTCTCTCTCTGAGACACAATCTAAAGTTGCTGTAGTTTTGCTGTTTAAAAAATACTGTTCCTTGCCTCTAAGAATGCTGTCTTAGTTATTGGATTTATGTCTTGTAACTCAGGGCTTGTTGTTCAGTATTCCAATGACAACGGGATACGCTGGCATTTTCTGCGAGAGTTGGATTTCATGTCGTTCCTGGAGCCACAGATCATTTCCATTGACCTGCCCCAGGAAGCAAAGACACCTGCCACAGCTTTCCGGTGGTGGCAGCCACAGCATGGTGAGTCACTGTTCTTTCCAACTTCCTGATGGCTTTCTAAAAGACATGTAATGTATAAGTGTGTTAATTTGCTGTCAATTTCTAGACAATTTGATTTAAAAACATGGTCACAAAGATATTCATATTGCTGTGTAATGAACCTGCTCCAACTGCTGCTGTTCATTTGATTTCAGGGAAGCATTCAGCCCAGTGGGCTTTGGATGATGTCCTTATAGGAGTGAATGACAGCTCTCAAACTGGATTTCAAGATAAATTTGATGGCTCCATAGACTTGCAAGCCAATTGGTATCGAATTCAAGGAGGCCAAGTTGATATTGACTGCCTCTCTATGGACACTGCCCTTATATTCACTGAAAACATAGGTATATATTGCTACCATATAACAGAAACATATTTGATTAACTACAGGACTAAGTTAACTAAAACACAAAAGAAATTTTCTACCATAAAATTATGTGCTTAACTTCCTGTGCTGAGAGAGGCTAGGGATGAAGAGCAGGGTATGCATCGTCCTCCAAAATGACCTGGCCACCTGGGCCTGCTGGAAGTTTCTTTCATGGAACAAGAGGAGGAGGAAGATGACTTGAAGGTAGAGAAATATGTCAGAGGACATACCTGTATTTTTTAGTTTGCAAACTTGAAAGTATATGACTCTATGAGTCCTTCTTAAGATAGCAAAGGTCTTGAACTTCATAGTCTGCCATATTTCTGATTCCATGGTGACAATATAAAAACAGTAAATATGAGAAGAAAATCAATGCAAATCTGAGGCCCTAAACATAAACCATTATTGGGTTTTCTGTAGGCAATGTGCTCACAATCATAAGCATCATAGAGGAGAATAATTCTGTTAAACCTTTGTTCTTGTTATTGTCATTGTTGACTATGTCTTTGGTAGGAAAACCTCGATATGCTGAGACCTGGGACTTCCATGTGTCGGCGTCAAGCTTCTTACAGTTTGAAATGAGCATGGGCTGCAGCAAGCCTTTCAGCAGCACCCACAGCATACAGCTCCAGTACTCTCTGAACAACGGCAAGGACTGGCATCTTGTCACTGAGGAATGTGTCCCTCCGACCATTGGCTGTGTGCGCTACACAGAGAGTTCAAAGTACACATCAGAAAGATTCCAGAACTGGAGGCGGGTCACAGTCTACCTTCCACTTGCCGCCAAGTAAGACTTGTCACTTGACTTCATGTTAGATTTCTGTCACCTAATTTGAAAGTAATGGTGATTCCACTTGGAAGTAGTGCTCACTGGGGTGATTATGCAAGAAATGTCTTGGGAAGGAGCATACTACATGGGGCCTCAGATTGCTGTTTTTAAATGTAACTAGAGAGTTCCAGAAGCTGTACTTGTGGTAGCTTCCTCATGTGATCCCTCCCTAGTTGGATTCTCAGCTCTGCTATAGACTGAGCCCATTACCCTGCAGTAAGTGTATGTTAAATACATATGGAGGTATCTTTTGCTGGTACAGTTCAGATAAGACATGCAACAAAAAATATAGGGGGAAAGCATAAGACACTGTATTAATTTTTTGTTAATATTTGTTTGAAATAGTTTGACATGGACCCACAAAGCCTAAACCAACGCCCACTTATAGCTCACGTATTCACTTTTGATACATTTATTGAATACCTACTTATTTTTAGTATCCTGATACCTAATGAATAAACTGATGCTATTACTTAGGATAGCGCACATCTAAGCATCTGTTTATCATGTGAAATGAAAACAGAGATACTGCACAAGATCCCAGACAACCAGCCTAGGGGGTAGTGGAAGATTGATGGAGGAGCTGACATTTCTGCTGAGTGAATGTGAGTGGGGCTTATCTAGGAAAAGAGGATCATGGGAGATCATACCTGCTGCTATAAAGCAGAACAAAATATAGAGGCCAGAGAAACTAAGAGTTGATGGGGTCAGTTCAAGGATTTGGTGATGCCAAATAATCTGAGGCAAGCTGTAGGAACAGAGAGGCTAACACCAATGAAGAAGACATAGGTGAATGGGATGCATCCACCGTCATCAGTGACTTGGTCTTGACAATGCACATGATGTGTGACCATCATAGTGTTAGGCAGAGTAACAATGCCATTACATTTTAATCTTAAAACCACCGTGCTTGTCACTGCCTCAGATTGAGGAAGAACCTGTCCTGAGAAATGGCACAACCTGAAATAGCATTACTGGGGGTCAGTCTTTGCTGGACCATGTTCTATATTCCAAATAACTAAGTCTTTTTCCATGCAGATGTTCCTTGGTAGCAGCTGCTGTTGTGTGGCAAGGCTGCTTGTACTTCTAGACAAAGTTCCCTTATGACTTAGTGTATTGTTTGCTTTCTAACAGTTCTCACAAAATACCTAACCAAAGGTATTTAAGGAAAGATTTATTTTGAGTTCCAAGGTAAAGTCCATTCTGGCAGGGAGGTTATAGCAGCTGGCCACACTGCATCTATAACCAAGACCCTACAGAAATTAATGTCTCTGCTCTGCTTTCTCCTTAGAGCCCTACCGCACCCATGGCGCTGCCTGTACACAGGGTAGAGCTTCCCTCTCCAGCTAAGTTTCTTAGGACACACCCTCATAGATACGTCCAGAGATGTGTTTCCAGGGATTCTAAATCCTGGAAAGTTGATAATGAAGATAAGTCATTGTGCTTACTATATCTCAAATAGTAGACTATACACACTGTAGAAAATAGGGAGTTGTATCCAGTTCTTAGCTTTAGAGACAGCGTGTTCAGGATCAACATAGAAAACACAAATACAATAGGACCCCGTATACCAGAAACTATTTAGAGTTTCTATGTAAGGTTCTAATTTTGCCTTTGTTGAGCCTTTGGTCCTTTTCCTAGTGCCTAACACCAGGCTGAAAACACCAGGCTGAAAGCAAATGCTAAAATTCTTCATGAACTTCAAAAACACAGGTCATGATTTCCAGATAGCATTTCTGTGTCACACATGTTGACTTTCCTATGAGAGAAATGGAAGAATGTTTGGATTGAGTTCATTCCATTATTCTCTTGATGGGCCAAGAGGAGAGAACATTTACTACTTAGTATGCAAATAAAAGTGTCTCAAAAAACAGGAAACTGGACTGTGGAAGAGGGTGCTTCATGGGGGAAAAGGGAAATAAAACAGAAACTCATGCTTTCAAAACTGCCTATCAAACCAACATTGTGGTTTTTGTTTGGTTTTATTTGTTTGTTTTTGTTTGGTTAGTTCTCCCAGGACGCGGTTCAGATGGATTCAGGCCAACTACACAGTAGGAGCAGATTCCTGGGCTATTGATAATGTTGTACTGGCCTCAGGCTGTCCTTGGATGTGCTCAGGACGAGGGATTTGTGATTCGGGGCGCTGTGTGTAAGTTCATAAATGGATACTTTCCTTGTTTGCAGTACCACAGTGAAACTGGCCTGTTGATGTCATAATAAACGATGCTTTTTCCCTCCTGTTTGTTGGTAGGTGTGACCGGGGGTTTGGTGGACCCTTCTGTGTTCCTGTTGTCCCTCTCCCCTCCATTCTGAAAGATGATTTCAATGGTAACTTGCATCCTGACCTTTGGCCTGAAGTCTATGGGGCAGAGAGGGGGAATCTGAACGGTGAAACCATCAAATCTGGAACATCTCTGATCTTTAAAGAGGTAAGCCAAGAGTCCTCCTGCTCTTCTCATCCCTTGAGCCTCACTGCCGAGAACAGATGCATTCTGGGTCTCTTTTTTTTGTTATTTCATGGACAGCACTGCCTTCTCGTACTCACCCTGTCTCACTAGGCACGTTCATTTTTTTCTTTTTTCTCTCTTCCTCCCTTCCCCCCCCCCACTTCCATCTTGTCTCTGAGATAAGGTCTTGCTCATTTTTGATGGTCATTTGCACATAACACTTTCCCTCTGCTTTGGAGATCAGACTTTTCATACTTTCTGCTGGAATTGATACATAAGAGTACATATGTATATAATCTGTAGAATTTGGTTGCTAGAAGGGAGCATTTCATAGTACTGAATTTTTATCTCACACTATTTATAAACCATTTTATGAAATCTTTTCTTTTTGTTGTTGTTGTGGTGGTGGTTGTTGCTGTTCCTTCTTTATAAATCTCCCTGCCAGGAGTGGAGTTGAATCTTTACTTAAAGGCCACTATAAAAACAAAGTGGTTAAGTCATGTTAACTTGCACTCTCGGACATTGTTAATATGCCTTTATAGTCTACCCTAGATGTCTAGTTAGAGAGGCATTAAGCAGCCGGATGATGCTTTGTACTCAGCTGGCACCTCTCCGTGTGTGAATGCATGCTACATCCCGTCCCTCTCAGCAAGAAGAGATTGACTAATCTAGGTGTGCAAATGAAGTCCTTGACAAAAGTCTGCATGGGTTTCTGTATAACCTTAATGAGTCAGACCAACCACTAAGAAAATTAGATACCCTGGAACTTTTTCAATTATAGCTAATAGATGCCAGTTAGCATACTTACTTGAATCCAAATTCTCCTCAAGTTTTGCATGGGTAAAGAGAAATACTTACTGACCTGAGTGATTTATAAGTCTTCAAGAGTCTGATAGACCAGAGACACTGGGACAGCACATCGAAACCCCTGGTCTAGAGGGATTAGCCTTATCTAAGTACATGGAAGGCCTATAACCTCCAACTGACTAGCCCCCTGCCAAGCAGCTGACAAAACCAAAAGACAGAAGCCTTGCAACTTCCCTTGCTTCAAAAGTCCTTGCCTGATAAATTTTGAAGCAATCGAGTTATCCTAGTCTTGAAGACTTACAAGTAGGAAAGGCACGTAGGTTCTGGTTTCCCTTTAGCTATCCAAATGCAAGAGCAGTCAAGCATTATGCTGTCCATGTATTATCCATCAGCTCTGCAAGATGTAAACAGCCCAGTGTACGCTGTGCAGTAGTCTGCAGTTTGACCTACAAAGGCATTCTTTCATGAAGAGAGGAAATGATAGTCTTTCTTAATGTTACAGGTTCAGGAGTATTCTCTGCTTTTAAAACAGCTTATTAGATACAAAAGAATTTTTCTTAGTGAGCACAGATGGATCCCTGAACCTGGTGAAAGATGGAAACGGAAACCAGCATCTGTACAGCAATGGTGGTTGACAGTTCCACTTCGTAAAAGCCAGTGTCGAGTGCTGAGCTGGAGCCAATACTTCCAGCTCACAAGAGGGAGCCTTAAGATTACAAAGCATGCCCCAGTCTCCTAGGAAAAGCAGTGCAAAGTGGATCCTTGCACCATGGCTGGGCTTGCTCTTCAGACAACCAGTTTCATACTTGTATTCAGAGTCATAATCCTTTATCTTGGTGCAAGCAAAGGATATCTATTAATGGAATCTCTGAACTGCCTGAGGATGCCACCCTTGCTTACCACTCCAGTTTCCATGGGACCCTGAGCTAGAAAAGAACTTGAGGTATTATGCTTGTGTATGCTGAAGGGGGAGGGGAAACACACCAAGCAAGACATGAAAGACAGGCATTGATTAAGCACTGTGCTAAGGCCATGGATTGTTAGGCATGAAGGAAAAAGAAAATGTATTGGTAGGGTAAGGGCAGCCTTACATAGCTGGTGTTTTTCATTAGACTACACAAATACCTCTTGGATTCTAAATGCAAAATGCAATTGTTTCTTCCTTTTATCCAAATTAAAGATGAGTTAATAGATAAGATGCTGATCTCTCTCTCTCTCTCTCTCTCTCTCTCTCTCTCTCTCTCTCTTTCTCTTTCTCTCTCTTTCTCCCTCTCATTTGCAACATAAGAATAATATCTTTCTCATGGGACTACTTACTAAAGTGTCTGTTAAAACCCAGCGTGTTATAATCATTCAAACATATGTTTGCTATTTCAGCTATTAGTGACGGTGGTCTGTAATAAACATGAAGTAGAGGGAAACTTTTTGCTTTTCCTAGCTAGTACAGTGTTGGGCTTTTGTTATCTGATAATTAGGAAATCAGTACAGTAGCATTACAGTCTTAGACTACAGAAAAGTCACTCAGCAGGCTCATCTGAGAAACAGAAAGCCTGTTTAGACCTTTGAATCTTTGCATAGTGAAATGCAACTCAGTGGCTGTCACCACAGTCAAAAACAAAACAAAAACAAAACAAAACAAAACAAAACAAAAAAAACTTTCTGAGATGGCCATTCCAGGCAACCAGAAGTAGTTAATTAGCAGAAAAAATTACTAACGCTAATGTGATCATTTTCCTCATTGTGTGACATCTCTGCATGAGTGGTTACAGTCTAGGCATGGTGACCTGCCTTCCTTCTGCCTTATTTAACTTGTATTTAACTTGGCCAACTGGGGTGTTGTGACAGCCTGAAGGAAAACCGCCTGGGACTGGCAGGGTAGGCAAAGCAGCAATGAGTCCCCAAGACTCCTCGGAGCCCTGGAAAAGTTAGCTATTAGTTCTTGGCCTCCAGTAGGAATACTTCACACATTTCGTTATCTTTCCCTCCTCCCTTCTTCTACAACACACTGTGATCAAAGGAGATTATTTTTAAACTCCAGTAGTGGCGATGTCATCACTTTTGTACCACTTTTAATAAGAGCCATAAAAAAAGTCTGAATTAGCAGTGGACAATGACATTGTATTGCTTAAACACAGAAAATGAAGACTGTTAGGAGAAAGAGAAGAACTCTCCTTTTTTCTTTTAAGCTGGACAAAACATTGTTGCTCGTCATATGTAACTATTGTTATGTCTTATGTAACTGTCACTCCACTAATTAATGCAAGGTAAGTAGATACAATCTAAGGAATTCCACCAGTGAAGCAAAGTTCCTTTCCCTTTGTTTCCAGGAGGGACTGAGAATGCTTATTTCAAGAGATCTAGATTGCACCAATACTATGTATGTCCAGTTTTCTCTCCGATTTATAGCAAAAGGTAAGTTGTTCCCACTGCATGAATCATTTTCCTCTAAAAAATGTCCTGTGCACAATCTCTCCTCCATAGAGAGGTTGCCTCCACTAGGGCCCTTAAGTTTCACTGTTCACAAATGGTCTTTAGTACAAGTTCCTCTTACCATAGTGGGGAGATAACTACTGTTTTAAACTGCTGATATAGATGGGGCTACCGCACTAGGTGATAAACTCACCACTGTGTCCTTGAACTCCACCACTACTGTGTTCTAGCTATCAGAATTTTAAATTAAAAATTATTAATTTATCAACACGTGGGGTTAATTTTACAGATGGTAATCATCCCAAAACACAACTCAGTCCCTCTGACTTTTCATATCTAATTATTTTCTTTAAAAAATAATGTCACTGTGGATATAAGACATTTTCAAATAATTTTTATTTATATCCCCTTGATTTAAATGTTCACAATCTTTGAAAAATGGATGTCACCAGAATGAATAAGGTTTAATTTTAATTTGGTATCTCCTACATATAGAGAAGAGAGAGGGAAAGGGAGGGAAACAAAGGGAGAGAGAGAGAGAGAGAGAGGAGAAAGAGAGAGAGACCAAGAGAGAGAAAGAGAGAGAACAGGCACATGTGTGCATGCATGTTCTACAAATATCTTGAAGAGAAAAGGTGTCTACATTTGGATATTTTTAAAATATATTCATACTAAAGCTTGACCTGCAATTACTTTCAGTTGTCACTGAACCATTTGGAGCAGAAAGTCTCCATGTTACTATAAACCGGCTCATGTTCTGATGATGTCCACAGGACTAGCTCAGAACCGGCTATGTCCTCATTATAGTATGCTTTATGCCTATGCTGTCTTCTCCCTAGGTACTCCAGAGAGGTCGCACTCCATCCTCCTACAATTTTCTGTCAATGGAGGAATCACCTGGCACCTGATGGATGAGTTTTACTTCCCTCAAACGACCAACATACTTTTCATTAACGTTCCCTTGCCATATGGTGCCCAAACCAACGCTACAAGATTCAGACTCTGGCAGCCATACAATAACGGTAAAAATACATGTGTTCTATTTTGGTCAGCACTGCCAGCTGTGTGTAATGATCCTGTTCCTCTGTCTTGGAGAAAGGCTTGCCCAATAGGCACACCAGCTGCGTATGCCACTCCATTTGACATGCCTTCCCTTTGACCATTCTCAGGGAAGAGTCAATATTCTGTGTCTTTGTCACCTTTGTCGAAGTTGACTGATAAATTCTTGGTTTAGTTTGCTGTCATTTGGGTTTGGCTGAGACATCTTGCCCTCTATTCCAGGGCTAGCCCAAAACTCACTACATAGCTTAGAACAGTTTTGAATTCAAGATCATCTTGCCTCAGCCTCACAGTTGCCAGGATTAAACATATGAGCCACAGAACTTAGGCATTTTGCTTTGCTTTGTTTTTTGTTTTGTATTGTTTTTAGTAATCCATCTTTACTGTTAGTTACTCACCAATAACAACTCGGTTTTGTTGAATTTACTAGAATGCACCATTCTTCTGAATGGCATTTCATTAGTGAAACAGATTATTGTGAAAAAGTAGAAGGAATTTAGACCAAACAGTGCCTTACATCTTTGTCACATTCATTGCCCATATTACACCAAAAACAAGTAGCATTTAACAGCATTTCACATTTGCAGAAGATTTTTTAAATTTCTAGCTTTGATTACTTCTTATAGTTCTTCTAATGCTGAATCTAAAGGGCCAGAGTTTTCCAGAACATGGATCTGTCTAAATAAGTACAGTTATGACATATTAAGCAGGAATAACCGAAACAGATATGGAAATGATATTTCTAGCTCTAAAATGTAACCCATATATTTCTTTTATGTTAAGATAAGATATAAGATATATTTCTTTTAAGATAGATAAGATCATGGTATAGTTTTGTTTAAATGTATCCATGTGTAAGAGATGGTATAAATACCAAGAAATTATATAAAATATATATAATATAAAAATATTATATATCCTGGTATTTTATATATGTGGATCTTATTATATAAGGATCAAACAAAAATCTGAAGAAGAAATTCACCTAATTTTAAAATCCAGAAGATGATGGACTCGTGGTACATCTGAAATGCTTACTTTTTTCTTTTTTATTCATCAAACACTTCCAAACCAAGACAATGAAGAAAAGCTACTAGTCTTAGGGCCATGATAGGAGTGAAAGGAGACAGAGGTGGGTGGTCCATTTCAAAAGCAGGTTATCTCCACAGGCTCCTAGTTACAAATCTGCTTTTATGCATTGCAAGACCTGCAGTAAAAGTACCATCTGTGAAGGTGCAAGGGACTGAGATGGATGGTCACAACACATCCACAGTCAAACAGAGTTCCCATCTCCACTTACATGGTCCAGAGTTCCCACATGGGGGTGGCACCTACCTGTAGTGAGACGGTCTTCCCACATCAACCTAATTAAGATAATTCCCTATGTGCATGCCCAGAGGACAGCCTCCCAGGTGATTCCAGACCTTTCAAGTTGACAGTTGACATGAACCATCACAGCATGTTTTTTAGTCCTTTCTTCATGATCGGTCCCAACAGTGCTTTGCAAATGCAGTCTAGTGCTTTCCCTTCTCATCTGCAATAGAACTATCCTTAAACACTTGGCTTGAGTCACTGGGAGTTTACAAGAATAAGGAAAAGAAATATAGTATTGTATCTCACAGCACTGATATCATGGTTGCGTTTTAATTGTAGCAAGATTACTTTCTTTGCCACCAATCACCCCTTGACTAGGTAGTCTACCTCAGTTCTAAACCACAGGCTACCAGCCTCATAGACAGATGTCTTACAGATTCCCCAACCACCACACTGCTGGAGAATGGTCCCTAGCAACACTCTGACTGGCAGGACAGCATGCATTCACAAGCTGCTCATCTCAGCTTCCTGAGATCAGAGTGGCTGTTCTGTGCTGTGTCATGTAATATGCTTACAAGCTTATTTTCTTCACACTCTGATTGCTGTGAATGTGCCACCATGAGACTTGTGAGTTTTGGCTGAAAAGCATATGTTGAAACTGTTGCCATTTGGCTTTTCCTACCATTTGCTTTCTTTCAATGAATGAATCTGATCTTCTTCTTTGGAAATTTTGATTTATCCCAAACTGTTTCAGGTAAGAAAGAAGAAATCTGGATGATTGATGACTTTATTATTGATGGAAACAATTTGAACAATCCTGTGATGCTGCTGGACACGTTTGACTTTGGGCCCAGGGAAGACAATTGGTTTTTCTATCCGGGTGGTAATATTGGCCTTTACTGCCCATATTCATCAAAGGGAGCTCCGTAAGTACTTAACTGAAAAGCTAAAAGTAAAATCATTGTTTCATACAGATCAGGGGGAATGTTTGCCTAAACAGTTTCCTCGTTGCTCTCTTGATAACCAGTGAAGAAGATTCAGCCATGGTGTTTGTTTCAAATGAAGTTGGTGAGCATTCCATTACCACCTGTGACCTAAGTGTGAACGAGAATACCATCATTCAATTTGAGGTATTGATTTCTCTTAGAAATGCTTTAAGTTTTATATTGACCAAAACCTGGTCAAGAAGAAGGAAGTCTTTACTGTGACTTCCTCTTAAGGTCATGAAAGATTTGTGTTATAATTCACTTTTATTATCAGACCAATGTTCATTTCAGAAATAGAGTTGCTTGTAACATAGTTCTGTCCTACCTACTGCAATAAGTGTTGAAATAGTTACTTTAAGATTAGAAAAACGTGAAAGAATGCTATTGTGGTCTTGTTATTCTCACAGTTTTTATATAAAATGAGAATGTCTTAGGACCTAGGTAACTGTAACTATAGTGTATACTGTGCCCACATACCAATAGAATCTTTATCATGCTACTCTGATAAAACAGTATCACACTATTTTTACAATTTTAGATATACCATGTGTAGTTGACATTTTATGCATTCCTTGTATTTGTCAAGAAAGTAAATTCATAATGGAAACATTTGCATATTAAAAACACTTGCATAAAATCGACATAATCAAAGGCTTCTTGTACCAGCATTCTAAGTAGTGAGTAAAATTTTTCTGATCTCTGACTTTGTTATATTTCCTGATTTTATGGTTTAAATACTAAGAAAAAATGGTACTTTTGTCTCTTTTAGGAATTGAGGTAGAAATTAGTGCCTAGAGTTGAAAAGTTCGTCAAGTTCCAATTGTTTACTCATTGGAAAGTAAAGGGGTGAACATATCCATCCATCGTTCTCCATGTTCTTCCCCTTCCACTCAACTCACTGCATATTAAATAATCAGCTACTACAATGGCACAATAGTAAGCCAATGTTCATCCACATTGGAAGGATGAGCTCTGGGACAGAAGGAGCCGCCTGCATGTAGCAGGAAGGAGCTTATCAAGAAAGGAAAGAGGGAGGGAAATCATCCCTGGTGTGATGGAAAAATACCAGTGACTTCATTCTACATTGTTTTTATATTGAATGTGTGTTGAAGATTCTCCAAGTTAAAAATTTTGGAATTATTTATAAAGTATCATAAGAAAGAAAGTAATCTTGCTACATAAGACTGATAAGGAAGCTAAGACTTTGGATTAAGAAAACACTCTTCATTAAAATTTTATTGGCTTGACAATAAAAAAAAATGGGCCAAAGTTACATTTGGAATTATCTCAAGCTTTCCCTTGTCCATTTTCTGTTTCTTATAACATGAGATAAAATAGATTTTATATGGCCTTTTTTAGGGATCCTTATGAAGAAAATATAATTTAAAGGTAATATATGTTGTCACATAGGGAACAGATCTTCCAGAGTGACATATTTCAGTAAGACCCTTCTCAGGGATTAAATGGCCTCCAAGGACCATAGCCAGTGTGCGGGCGCATTGCTCTGAGATAATCTGCATCACGTTTTCTTTCATCCCAAGATCAATGTTGGATGCTCCACTGATAGCTCATCTGCTGATCCAGTCAGACTGCAATTTTCAAGGGACTTTGGAGCCACCTGGCACCTGCTGCTTCCCCTCTGCTACCACAGTGGCGGCCTCGTCAGCTCCTTATGCTCCACTGAGCACCACCCGAGCAGCACCTACTATGCAGGGACCACCCAGGGCTGGAGAAGGGAGGTTGTGCACTTCGGGAAGCTGCACCTTTGCGGGTGAGAATCTGCTGCTTGGCACCATTCTTGTCTCTCATTTGGTGACCTGCCCTTCTAAAGTTACTCAGGGAGAAAATACCACGTTTTGGTTGTTTTCAGTTTTCACTTGAAACAGATAGTAGACATTCAAAGCAGGAAAGAGAGATAATGTAACTACTTGTACGTAGTTTGAGGCTAGAGTCAAAAGAGTGCTGTGGATTGCATAGTTTGAAATCTGTTTCCCTGTGCATCTTTAACAAATCAAAAGGAATCGAGAGAATGCATTTCTCTCATAATGTTGCCCCTCTTCCCGTGGGCTCTCACCTCATGCTATAAATGACAGCAATGCGTTCACACACGTACCCCTATAGGCAATGTATGGAAGCTGGGCACCTACAGCCAATTCCTGGAGTCTCATAAAAAGGCACTGACACTTTCCCCCCTGAACATTTTTACTTTCTCAACCCCTCTCAGCATTGTCGTGACATTATACTTGTCTCTTCTGTGGAAAAGCTATTTGGAGATAAAGGACTTCAATTCCCATAGAGATAACTATAGTTTCAAAAATAAAACTTATAACGAAGGGAACAGCTAGGACTCAGCAAAGCAGCCAGCCTGAGTCTCAGTCTTCCTGATGCTGTGCCCCTTTAATACAGTTCCTAGTGCTGTGCTAACTCCCAACCATAAAATTTTCATTGCTACCTTATAACTGTAATTTTGGTTCTGTTCCTGAATTGTAATATAAATATCTGTCTTTTCCAGTGGTCTTAGGGGACTCATATGGAAGGGTCATTCTACTCTCAAAGGGGTCATGACCCACAGATTGAGGGCTCTGTTTTAGACTACAATTGATTCTTTCAGTGTATATCAAAAAGAAGTACTACTTCAAGATGAAAATCAATGTTCAGTCCTCACATGCAACTAGGCGTAGTTAGACCTGCCTGTAAGCCAAACAAGTACGTGGCACTTTTCCAAGAGGATGAAAGTACATTTGCAAAAGTTAGCATTGTTTTGGAGCATAACCCACCCACCCCTCATTACCTCACTAGAGCTGTTTCCATAATTCGATTGTGAAGAGCGTAAATACTTTCTGTTGTTGACTGTGTCACTTGTTATGGCATGAAGGCAGTATACTTATAGACACCAAATGTTTCCTTCACATACAAGTATCACTCAACAGAATGACCTCTGCACCTGTTGGAGTGGGGTGGGGTGGAGGTTGCAAGGAGACTGTCCAGAAATCACAGACTTGGTACCACCTAGCTTGGTGTTGAGCTCCTATCAGTTAGCAGAGCTGTTCACAGAAGAAATAGGCAGGAGGCAGTATCTCAGCAGTAGAAAATTTATCTGAAATCAGTTTTCATGTAGAAAAAGGAAGAGTTTACTAAAGGATTCTAGGAAGTTTGTGGTCCTTACTCTTATTAACCTGCTGTCAACATCAAATCGATCATGGTTCCTGTTCCCTGAGACTCTTGACTCCAAATCTAAAAAGAAAATCTGAATATTCATTTATGGCTAAAAGTCCAGAGATCACCCCTGAACACACTAGGCATGGTCTGACTGTGTCACTCCAAAATTCATGTGGTGAAATTCTTACCTTAAAGGTCATAGCCTGAGGAAGTGTGGCCTTAGAAGAGGTCATTAGATCATAAATGGGATTGTAGCCATTATAGGGGAGGCCCCAGAAAACCGCTTTGTCTCTCATACCATGTGAAGACACAGCTAGAGGGCATCTAGCATGAACTGTAGAGCAAGCCCTTAGCAGATGCTGTGCTAGCTCCTTGGTCTTGGGCCTTCAGCTCCTACAGTGATTAGAAAGAATAAATGTCATTTTTTATAAGGTACCCAGTTCATGTCATATTTCTTTAGCCACTGAAAGCAGAGTGAAACAGATACCTTTGACCAAAGTCAAAAGTCCCTCAGTTCCATCATGGTACTACTGAGAAGTACCAGGTCTCCTTTTCAGTGAGCTTCTGCTTTTCTCTGACTTCCTAGTCAAGAAAGAGCCTGGTGGTAGGTTGTAGCCATGATTATGGTGTACCATCTAAGACATGCTTCAGAGTTCCCACATCTAAGTAATCTTACCTGACGCACATGAAGTAAGTCAAGAGTCCTGTGAGGGAAAGGCTGTCCACACCAACAGGACCAAGCTGCTGGTGGAATCCTCTGTGGCACACTCAGGTGTAAAGTATAATAGCATATCCTGGAAATGCAAGCAAGGGAAATACAGATGTCTCTATTTCACCCACTAGAGAAAATCCAGTTTTGAGAAAATAGTCCTAACATACAGAATTACGACTGGCATGTTGCTTTTTCTCCAAGTTATTTTATTTCTATGGCAAGGAGTCATGCCCACATTCAGAACTGTATCAACCCAAACTGTTCTCAGCCATTTCTGTAGAGGAAAGACTGTGTCCACATCTTTGTCTCAAGAAAATAATTAGTACTGTTTTTAAAACTCATACAACCATGAATTGCTGGAAGGCAAAAATGAAAATTTCTCAACTCAGTGAGCCATTCCTCGGTTTGCACTCAACATGGGACATAATAATAGCACAAATGCTAGCTGAGGGAGAGAAAGAGAGGGGGAGGGCTTAAAATTTCTGTGGTTTAATGAACACTGGACACACATATAAACAATTAAATATATAATGCTTTCAGTGTCAAGTTTTTACATTTTTTGCATTTTAATTAAAATGTAATTGTATCATTTGCCCCTTTCTTCTCCTCCCTCCAGGCCCTCCCATACCCCCATTCTCAAACCGACAGCCTCTACATACCATTTATGTTCAAAATATAAGTGTTGAATTTCCACCTAATTTTATACACATCACCTTTCAGTCAAATGTCTTTTTGTCCTGAAAACATCTTAAGTGTTTTGTTTTATGCAGTTTCATAACAAGTCAAGCAAAGGCCCCTACTGAATATAAATAGTGTGCTGTGCTCGAAATTCTAAGTGTATATTTCTAAGAGGCAGATTCTTTGAGCAGCCCTGGCTTGAGAGCGAGTGCTGACATTCACAAGGTGGATGGCAGTGAGAATTTTTCAAACTAAGATCTCAGCCGAAGGGAACCACAGCAAACCCAGGCTCTCAGCCCATTTGTCATGGCATTTGTAGTTTCTGTGCCAAGGCAGGCGAGCACTAATAAATACCCAACCAAGGTGGTTCATTTGTATTCAGAACATTTGAATAAGTAAGTTCAAACAAAATCCATGTAGGCTTTTCTTGAAAGGAAAACTCCAGCCATTTCTCTCAGCTCAGCAGTCTGAAAGTTCAAAAGGTAAGAAGTGTCTTTGCCTAGACTAAACTCGGACAAGTGTAGGAGAAGCTGCTTTAATTATCAGTTGGCATTTTGGGGGCAGTCTAGTCTACCTGGGGTCTTGCTGTAAACGTGAGAAAGTGCATGAGAACTTTGCTCCTATCGGTCTTAGTCCCTCCTACACTGCAGAGGTCTAACCATCCCAAACCCTAGTGTTTAACTTCAATTTCTGTTTCTCAAATGAAAAGCTAGTCAGAATTTAGCTTATGTGATAACAAGAAGATGGATAAATTACAGGACACAAAAGTAAGTGTCTGTGACATATCTAATGCCCAGTCCCTCTCTTCCATCTTCTCTTAGCTGACTTTTATACATGTTAAAAAATATACATTATTTCTGGACTTTTAGTTAAATAAATAGATTATTTCCAGTAACATGATTATCACTAGTAACATGTGATAATTCACTTGCTAATTTTGGTGATGATGATGGTTTGCAGGATTTGCAGGGATGGGAACAGTGGCTGATTGGTTGGTTGGTTAGGTTTTTATTTAAAAAAAATAAAGGTTCATGCTGGTCTAGAACTCTATGCAGAGGCTGGCCTCAAACTCATTGGGAGGGAGTCCTTCTATCTCTATGTCAGGTTCTGAGATTACAGTTGTGAGCCACCAAACCTGGCATATTCACTTATTTTTTGATTAAATAAATAAATAAAACAAGACATAAGAATGAGCAACCTAAATAATAAAGCTGATTTTCTAACTTTTTTTTCCTCTTAAATTTACTAAGCAGCTACTGTGTTAAAACCATGATTCTGGGACCATGTAATAAAGGAGGCATAGACATGAGTTTCTACAAGCTTTCTGCTAATAGAAGAAATAGGCATGTCTTAAATTATCAAGCAGTAGTACTGAAATCATGGAAATATCATCACAATTGTTGTAAAACATAACATAGCCAGAAGACCCAGCAATGACTCTACCATGCTCTCTGGAACAAATACTGGTGCTGCCCATGTTCATAGCAGCACTGTTCTCCATGGCCAAAAGGCAGCAACGATCAGACCAATGAATGAATAAAGCTGATAAATCCCCGTGATGGAGCATTAAGAGGAAGGAAAGTCTGACACTTGCTACAAGTGGATGTGCCTTGAAAATGTGAATGCTGAATGAATATAGCCAAATATAAACCATATGTTGCATGGCTTCATTGCTATTGTGTGCTCAGAATGGGTAAATCCACAGAGGCAGACAGGAGGTTGGTGGTTGCCAAGGAAAAGTAAATGTGGCAGGGCTACTGGGGCCTGGGGTTTCCTGTCAGGGTAACGAAATGCATTGGAACTAGATAAAAGTAGGCACAGAATTGTGCATTTTATGTGGTTCATGGTTGATTTCATGTTTCATAAGTTTACATCTATTTTTGAAGCAATTACTTATGCAGAGTGTTGACAGTGAACTAGTCTCTAACAAGAGAGCCAGTGCTGGAAACATAGGAAGATCAGGTGCAATCTTTCAATAGCTGGTAAAATTCTACTGTCAAAAAAAAAAAAAAAGAAATTCCCTGAAATGGCAAGTCTCATTTTCTTCTGTTTTCTTCAGCAAATCCTACCGGTGTGTGCCACCACTACTAAATCCTGTTTTCTTCTTCTTAGGTTGATACATAAGTAGTGATTTCCCATTGTTTATGGACCAAATGTGCTAACTCTAAAGATGTAATGTTCTATTGGATAACTTTGAAATCTCTGTGCCTTGTTTTCCAGATCTGTTCGATTCCGTTGGTATCAGGGATTTTATCCTTCTGGCTCTCAGCCGGTCACATGGGCCATTGATAACGTCTACATTGGTCCCCAGTGTGAAGAGATGTGCTCTGGGCATGGGAGCTGCATCAATGGCACCAAGTGTATATGTGACCCAGGCTACTCCGGTCCAACCTGTAAAATAAGCACCAAAAATCCTGATTTTCTCAAAGATGATTTTGAAGGTAATCTTTTCTGTTTAGTTCTTAGAAGAATTTACATATAAACACAGTCTGTGATGAAGAATTAACCACTCATGTATATTCTAATAGTTATACTTACAACTGCCAATATTCCAGAGTCCACTTCTCTCTGAATTTTATAGGTTATACTTTGACATGGAATTTAGTGGGGGAGAATGAATAAGACTTTAAATGAGAAATTAAAGGTTATTTCCACCACTCTTTTGTAAAATTTATTTAATTTTCAATAGGCAGGTTAGATCATTAATGTCTTGATACTGCTATTGATGGAATAAGTTGTACACATATGAACCTATAAGAAAAGTCAAAGAAATTCCTTTAACTAGTTAATTATAGTTAGTGTTTGATATTTGTTAGCTAGTTGAGAGTTTTGCACAGCATATTTTGATCTTATTCACCCTCTCTCCTCTGATTCTTTCTAGATCCACTGTTCCACTCAACCCTTGTCCTACCCAACAGTGTGTCTTTTTTTATTTCCTCTTCAACTTTGAACTGCCCAAATATTCACAGATGTGGGGCCTTCTACAGGGAATGGTCTTATCAGAGCTATACTGTTGGACAAACCTGTCTCTCCCTCTCTCAAGAGCAGACCATAGCCAGTAGCTTCTTGGCTAGGGAGAGACTTCATGCCCAACTGCCTTCATGCTGAGACTTGGTCTGGCTGGGCATGTTCAGGTCTTGTGCATGCTTTTACAACTGCTTTATTTTCATGACTTTTGATACTACATGTAATTGCTTATAAGTAGCAAGAGAATATGCTCAAGGGATTATCTTGTATTATAAGAAACAATTTGTTAGAAATCTTGATTCCACCAACCGTTCAGGCAGCCTCTCCTTTTCCACACTGTTATTTTACATCAATACATATGATGCTAGTGTTACAACAGAGAAGAACATTATATACTAGTTATTTTGGGAGCATCTAAATTGTAGATGTGCTTTTACCAGAGGTCGGATTAAACATTTTCATATGGTTGGGCCGATACAGCAGCTATGTGTGTTAGTGAATCAGACAAAAAGATTTTATTTTCCTCCATTTTCTGTAAGACTTTTAATTATTTTTATTTTTAATAATTGTAAAATATTAATAATTTTATTATCTATAATTTTATAATATGCTTTAAAACTACATTTAGGTACAAGCATACAGTGAAACATTACACTGCCATAAAACATTTGAACTATTGATATATTCTACAATTTATGTGAACCTTGGAAATAATACAATAGACAAAAGAAACCAGACTCCCAAAAAATCCATTGCATATTCTGTTTGTGTGAACATCCCAAGTAAGCTGGTCCTCGGAGGTAAGAGTCGGACTAGTCAGTTGCCAGGGATGCAGCAGAAAAGGAAGCTGCTGCATTGTTGATACAGGTTTCTTCTTGAGAGGACAGAAACCTTAAATAGTTACTGGTGAAGGTTTTACTTCCAAAATATACTAAATACTATTAAATTATTCACTTTTAGATTGTTAATATAGTAAACATGTTTTGTGTATTTAAACACATTTAAAAAATACTAAATCGAAGATTCATATCTGAGTAGATTTGAAAACCAGCTTTGAAAGACATTTAACAGCAACTATTAAATTATATTTAAATTTCTGTGGTAAAAAAAAGTATCCATTTTAAAAAGATACTGTGTTATTTCTCCATTAACACTGCCACACATTAGAAAGGACTTGGTAAAGACACTGTGTCCCAGGTTCCCTTTCTTATGGCCCCTCATTCACTTCTGAATAACCAGCATTTTTCTTTGATGTGGCACTTTCCTGGCTGAACCATAGATACTTGGGAAAAGCCCCTCTCTGACATATGAACCTTTATATCAGTCAAGGCTAAGAACACTGAAGATATTCGTATGATAAAGCATCCTTTTAATCCAAAAATGCACTTTTAATGTTTATGGCTTTATATTTTAAAACTACATGACATATTCCATCATAGTTCTTTGAAAACGTAATACAACTATATTCATGGTCACAGGTTAACCACATTTTCCACTTTCTCAGGTCAACTGGAATCTGATCGATTCTTACTGATGAGTGGAGGGAAGCCGTCTCGGAAGTGTGGGATCCTTTCCAGTGGGAACAACCTCTTCTTCAATGAGGATGGCTTGCGCATGCTGGTAACACGGGATCTGGATTTATCACATGCTAGGTAAGTGTAGCACACAATTGTGGACATGAAGAAGCCAGGAGCTCTCAAGGGTGACATCTTCCATGCTGTTATTAGGTGTCGTTCTGCTCAAAGTTCCCAATGAGACACAGATCACATAATTTCTAGTTCAATACCAACATCAGCTGTGAAACACCTAAACAAACAAAGCCTACTATCTGTTATTTTATAATCTTAAGAAAATAGCAATGTTTAATTCACTCTAACTTTAAAAAAAATACTATTGCCTCTATTTTACCCTCCTACTGACTACATTCATTAACACTTGAACTCTAAAGAAAATATGTACATTTACTATCTTGTCTTAGTAAGAAGCTCAGTAGAAATGCATCCTCAAGTTATTCATGATTAAGTTTACCTTCATTAGCAAATATTTAGTTGAGAATATTTGAGGTATGTTCTGTGGTGCTCATAAGCAACTGCCCAATGCCTCACTAGTACATAAGAAGCCATTTTCTAAATTGAGCATAGTCAGTCAGAAAAATACACATTTTAAGCTGGCTCACAGAGTCATGCCCTGTCAGAATGTGTATCCCTTGGTCACTTGATGAGCCAGAACCTTAACAGCAAAACATTACGTACAGTTTTACATGTGTAAAATGCAGCTCTGACCCATTTTTAAATGAACAAGGAAATCATGTTTATGGTTTTAAAACATTTCTCAATATTTTAAAATATATCTGAACATTCCCTCTTTTCCCTGAATTCAGTTTCTGATTATAAATAATATAAGTCACAGAAAATGCAAGTCTATCTAAAATAATTTTATAGTTACTGAAAGCAGAATTTTACCTATCCCACTCTAATGTATATAATTTTATTTGATAGTCTTTATGCCAGATTCTTTAATACCATCCAAGTTCTTTAATTTAGAAATTATTAAGTTTTCCAAATAAGCAATTCAAATATGTTTTTTTCTAAGTAGTAATTTGGTGTTTATGTTATCACTAAATTAATATGAACATCTTTCCAATATAAATAGATAGTACACCTAGTTTTCCCTAGATAAGAACTGTTTTCATTTGTGCAAACATCACTAGGCACTAACATTGCACGTTTCCATTAATCCAATGTTAAAAGCTGCATTCTATAGCTCCTCCAGTTGCATGCTGTGTGGGATTTGCATATATTGACCTTAAAATGTTCAGTGTAAGATCTCAGTGTTTTCAGGGCCATGATATAAATACAGGTTGGGAGAATGGTGAGCAATGAATGGTTTTGTGTATGATACTGATAACATTTATTATCAGTCCTGTTACATTACTGAGTATGTGTGTTAGATTTGACATGAAATTTATTCTGCCTTACCAATTAGAATAGTGGCCAGACCAGGCACCAGCAGCTTGCTGGCCAAAGATAACATGTGAGCCAGTTTTCATTGGCACCCCAGCTGCTTGCTGCCACTCTGTCCACCTCCCCGCCAGCTAGGAAAGCTGCCACTGGCTGGCCGCCACCATTCTCAGAGGCCAGTATCATCTATACCCAGACCTAGCAGCAGTCAGAGTCTGGCAAGCCTTACCACCAACAACAACTCACACTCATGCTTACCCTTCCTTCCCCTAATACAAGAGACAGAAAAGAGGCCCAGGCTTAACACAGCTCTTCCAAAAGTGGCCTGGTCTTTTGAAAAGAGGGGATAGAACTCCTGCATGTAAATGTGTCTCCTAAACCAAGAGATTTAAGATCTATAAATCTATAAAGCTACTGGTAAGATGGAAATGGATAATTTTGCCAGTAGTTATATATATATATAAAATACAGGTGCCACACACACACACACACTATATATATATATATACATACACATATATGTATGTATTATATTCTTCTAATTCCAAACACTGAGGTCTGGAATTCAGTTGTCTTTCCTAGACAAACAATGCACTCGCAGACTTGAACAGCCTTTGGATCTCTCCCAAGATCTTATAAAGTAGCCAAGGGAAGCAATGGCTCTGGCTTTCCTCTGGCTGCTTGGAGGAGAGATTCAAGATATAAATATGAGCCAGAATTGCCGTTTTTTCACACTTCACATTTAATTAACTCTCATTCACATTAGAACAGAAAAATCAAGCTTTGAAGTGATTGTTTTGGACAGTCATTAAATCATCATGCTTATTAACATCATCGTTGCCTCATACTGGCTGGAGGCTTGCCTTTTGTTAATGAGGATTTCTCTTTGAAGTAAAAGGCTACAGTGGTATCTTCTGGTGTCAGGTTTGTGCAGTTCTTCATAAGACTAGGATGTGGTAAAGGGGTTCCAGACCCCAGGAGCCAGCCCATACTTCTACAGTACTCCCTCAATGGTGGCCTCTCCTGGAGCCTTCTTCAAGAGTTCCTCTTCAGCAACTCCAGCAATGTGGGCAGGTACATTGCCCTGGAAATGCCCCTGAAAGCCCGTTCTGGTTCTACACGCCTTCGCTGGTGGCAGCCATCTGAAAATGGGCACTTCTATAGCCCCTGGGTGATCGACCAGGTCAGTCTCTTCAGAATTATCTACTTTATGACTTTAGAATGCATGTTAGCCCAACGCCCATGCTTATGAAAGCCCAGACAGACAGTCAAATGACTTGCCCAAGGACACACAGCTAGATTAGATATGGTGTTTAACTTCCTTCCATTCTCTAGCCCATCAATTGCCTAAACCTATAAAAATAAGTGACACAACAGAAGGCCTAGGTCCTGTTTAGAGAGGATGATGCCATATGGATAGACGGACTTTATCAAGCGTGATACAAGGTTATAATTCTCCAGAAAGAGAAGCATGCAAATTAGCATTGATGCGACATGCAATTGTTCTCAAATCCTCTTTTCCAGCCTTTGATGAAAAATAAGTAAGTCTTTCCCAGCATCTTTCTGGACTGCTCTAAGAGATCTTCATACATAATACAGTGTATCAAACAGGACTCAGAGAACCTGTTCACAAATAGTAGAGAGTTCATGCAAAGAATTGCAACTGAAATGCCTCAGGGCATGACTGTCCTTAAATAGAAATTTCACATGGAAAACAATCATAGGCAAACCAAATTTTGCTCTTCCAGCTTGGGGACTTGTGCTTTCCAGTGGCACAATTTGGCCTACAAATGGCTGTGAATGGTTTTGTCAGTCCTTTGATTTGTTTTCTGTAGCTCCTTGCCAGATGGGCAAACAGACCACAGAAACAAGAGCATTCTAAAAACCCCCTAACATTATGCTAGTTGTACAGTACCAGATCCAAGATGGCTGACAGATCAAAACAAACAAACAAAAACAACTGAACTCTTCTGTATGTTAAAACCTAAATCTGGGGTGTTCTAAAATGCATTTCAGATTCTTATTGGAGGAAATATCTCTGGTAATACAGTCTTAGAAGATGATTTCTCGACTTTGGACAGCAGAAAGTGGCTGCTTCACCCAGGAGGCACCAAGATGCCTGTGTGTGGCTCCACGGGTGATGCCCTGGTCTTCATTGAAAAGGCCAGCACCCGTTATGTGGTCACTACAGACATTGCTGTGAATGAGGACTCATTCCTACAAATAGATTTTGCTGCCTCCTGCTCTGTCACAGACTCTTGCTATGGTAAGTATTCCATATCCATACAGAGGGACAGAAGCATGGGTGCCCATGGCCACCTCTGCAGTGGGACTGTTCAGAACCTGTGTTATGGGGCTTAGGAAGATGGCTTAGTAAAGTTCTTACTGGGCAAGCTTGGCAACCTGAGTACAGCTTCCTATCACCCACATAAAAGGCCAAGCATGGCTGTATATTCCTGTAGTTCTACACTGTGAAGGCAGAGATCACTTCATCTCACTGGCCAGCCAGTTAGATTAATCAGTGAGCCTCAAGCTGAGTGACAGTCCCCAAGAAGCAATAAAGGAAAATTCTCAGTCTCCACCACTGGATTACATCCACAGATATGAACACACACATACATACATGAGTACACACACACACAAGTACTCAAGTGATAGTGTTATGTATGCAAATGATCACAGTACATTTTAAATTCTTGGGATCTTCTTGAAACTTTAATTTTTCTCAACAACATTGTGTCATAAATAAAGTATATTTTTAAAACATTGTGGATAGATTGAATTTCAGAAACTAAATCAGTAAGATTTCCACCTGGGGATATAGTTTACTTAGAAGACTGCCTGTCTAGCATACATAAAGCCCTGAGTTTGCTCCCTAGCACCATGTAAATTGCATGGTAGCACATGCTGGTCATCCAAGCTCTCAGGAAGTGGAATCAGAAAGAGAATACAAACTGCCATCATTGTACAGTCTTGACCCTTTACCTGAATTACAGACCCCTCAGGATTACTGAGGAATTCCAAACCTGTGCCACCTTACTTCTAGGACAATATAGGCCCTTGTTCTTTCTTAGATCAGAGAAGGTGAATATGTGAGGAGCTTTGTTTCTCTGTAACCAGATTTTCATATTTCTATGATTTTTAACTTTATTAGGAGGAATTCCAGAAGTATTCTTTGTACTTCAATCACAGTTAGTTAACACTAGTCAGTGGCGGGGGGGAGGGGATGGGGGTTGGTAGAACTTGTGGGAAAAAGATGGGTAAGCAGAAGGTACACATTCTGTATTCAGTAGGTACATTTTTTTTGAATAGGTGTCTCAAAAATTTAGTATTATAGATGACCAAAGGAGAGTGTTCTATAGAATGGAGCTAATGTAAGATGTAATGCAAACTCAGAGGAGAGAGCGTTGATGAATGGTGGTCCCACCTAAGGAGTTAGAGACCATTTGACAACGAGCTAAGTCTCCGTTGGACCTCTATGGCTGGAGTGGATTTTAAAGGGTAGATAGATCAGAGAAGCCATCCCAATCTGAGCCAGTAGCTTATGTAAAGAAGGATCCCCTGGCCACAGGAAAGCTGCAGGAGAATGAAGCATAATAGCCCTAAAAACAGAAATATACTTGGTATTCCAGTGTCCTTCAGTAACTTTAGGAGTCAACAAAAATAACAAAGGAAGCTATCCCAAGGTTGACTCAGCAAGAACAAAGCTAGATTTGACACACATAAGCCAGAAGTGTGTGCTTTAACCATAGGCAGGCACGGCCTCCTGAGAGAGGTACAATGAATAAAGTACTGAAAGAAGCCACAAATCTCAAAGGACCTTCAAGGGCAGGCACAGAAACTTGTGCTTGACAAGGTCACAAATAGGAGACAACAAGCACAGAGGAGTATTGCCTGGTTTCATTTCTGTTGCTGTAATAAAATACCGGACAAATATCAAGTTAGTGGAGAAAGAGGTTTATTCCATCTTATCATTGTGGGGAAGTCAAAGCAGGAACATCAAATAGCTAATCACATCACAACTATAGCCTAGAGCATAGAGAAGCAAATGCATACATGCTTGCTTGATTGTTTGATCAGCTCTATTTCTCCACTCTTGTATAGTTCAAGCCCCTGCCTAGGGAATGACACTGAGCACAATTCTCTGGTTCTCACTTTATCAACCAATTTAATCAAGACAATCCCCAAAGCTAACGTATTGCAGACAATTCCTCTTTTACCAGGTGATTCTAGATGGTGTCTAGATTGGCAATGAATGCCGACCATCACAGGAATCCTGATGTTTTAGGCGAGGTTAGCTCTGAGGTGGTAAGTAGAAAGGAATTTTAGTAAATAAGGTATAGCAATGATCTCCAGTGGAGGTGTGGGGTAAGACAGTGAAGGGGTATAGGGGCAGTGAAGGGAGGTAGAAAGGGCAGAGGTAAGACACTGAGAACAATCAAACAGCAGCAGACACTGAGAACAATTAAACCAGGACTAAATGACAGGCTTGGCACAGAGGAGGTAAGCCAGAGGACTCAACTCTTGGAAATGAATTTTAAACCCAGAGAGCTAGTGTCAAAAATCACCATTAATGAGGTTTGGTGGTTAAGAAAATGTGTTTATTTATGGAAGGAAATGGCGTGTTCCTCTCAGTTCTAGTGACAGGACTTCTTGGTCCTGTAAAGAGGAGGATCTGGGGCTGGAAAGACTGTTCAACGGTTGAGAGCACTCTCTGCTCTTCAGAGAATTGAGTTCAGTTCCCCAGCAACCAAATGGTGGCTTACAGCCTTCTATCCTTGGATCTGATACCCTCTTCTGGCATGCAGGTGTACACACAGATAGAGCACTCATGTAGGTAAAATAAATAAATAATTCTTTAAAAAGAAGAAGAGAAGGACCTGTCTAAGTTGCTCTTCATGATGTATTCAGCATCCTGTGCATTGTCAGGCTCAGCAAGCACTAGCCAAATAAATAAAATCAATGTTGAGACATAAAGCTGGTAGATACAGTCACAGTGTTAGTGTGTATATGTAGACTAGGAGGCCAGGAAGAAAGCACAAAGGGGGGGGGGGGGGGGGGGGGG